AACGTGTTGTGCCTCAAGTGCCTTTATAGTATTGGAAAACGTAAATTGATAGTTTCTAGTAGTATGTTTTCATTGTTAATTACGTATGTTAAAGTAAGTTATAGTATTTGTAAAAAAAATGGATGTAAATAATATTATGTGTTCGACGTCTAAAAAAGCTAGACGTAAACATAAACGTAGATTGACCACTGCTGAATTACAATCATTTTTAGAAGCATCTGGCGAGGATGATGTAGATTAAATGAATGGTGGAAGTGACTCTGACGAAATATTTGCAGAAAGTCGTTTAGAAAAATCGAGGATTGCGTTTTGGAAACAGACAACACAAACAGAATTTAAAACTTTTCTCGGGCTTATATTCCAAATGAGGACAATTAAGATGAACCGTCTAAATGACTACTGGAAAAGTATGGGTAACTTCTATAATAGATCTATCAGTAATTGACTTTACTAAACAATTACTGATAGTCCATATTAAGAAATAACCGAATAGACAATCCCCACTTGTCAAAGAAACTAAAAAAAAACGTAAAGTGGTCAGTATTTACAGTCCTGAAGGAATATGTGTGACCAAGTGCAGAGATAAACAAGACATAATTACTAATTAAATGGGAATAAGCCACAATTAAAGGTTAAAGTACGTTTATTGGCATTTCAATTTCCAATTCGGAAATCGTTCTCAAAATAGAAACGTACTTTCGTATTTTGCCGAAAAGCCCTCAATTATTTTGCAGTAATTTATAAATGTTAATACCTTCGTTTGTACATAATGGCATTTAATATAACTAATTTAAATTGGGGCAGATAATACGTTATTAATATATATAATAACGTTAATACGTTATAAACATCGAGGTATTGAACAAATTTAACACCGGCAGTGACCATAGACTAGTTCGTGCTGATATACGTATTAACGTAAAGAGAGAAAGACGAAAACTATTAACAACAAACCCTTTACCGACGGCAGACATCCTAGCCAGTAATAAAGAGAAATACCAAGAGGAATTAGCACGAAAACTAGTAGTAAATACCTTTGAGCACAAGAATATAGATGAACTAGCTGAGAAAATAACTAAAGACATACAAACAGTCACTAAGAAACTCTGTTGCAGAATAAGAAAACAAAAGGAAGCTAAACTAAAACCCGAAACTCTAGAACAGATCGAGAAAAGAAGAAGAACGAACAGAGATAACCCGGACTATAAAGCGCTCAACAGAAGCGTTAAGAAAAATATTAAGACCTCAGAGTTTATAGAACAAACCAGATTCTTGAAACCATAGAAAATAATAAGAACATGAAAGTACTAAAAACATGTAAATCCGCTGGCAGGAATAAAATCATAAAGATAAAAGACGACCGTGGAACATTGTGAAGGAAGAGATCGTTAGAGAAATTCGAAAATTTTATGAGAAGCTGTATAGTTCTACTATTCCGAACCCCGGTATACCAAAAAAACATATCTTAAATGTGGGCTCAGAGGACTTCCCTGAAATAATAACATCAGAAATTAGAGCCGCCCTAAAACAAATGAAAAATGGGAAAACACCAGGAGAAGATAAAATGATTTCAGAGATGCTAAAAATGGGAGGCACTGCATTAGAAGAGGCAATAAGAGCATTACTTAATAAACGCCTATTGGAAGGACAAATACCGAACACATGGAAAAATGCGGAAGTCATTCTACTCCATAAAAAAGGGGACGCCGCAAATATAGAAAACTACCGACCAATAAGCTTATTGTCACACCTTTACAAACTACTAACCGAATAATAACAAATAGATTGACAGCTAAACTAGATGCATACCAACCAGTGGAGCAAGCAGGCTTTCGTAAGGGTTTTAGCACTACCGATCACTTGCAAACAATTCGGACCATTATTAAAAAAACAATAGAGTACAACATACCACTACATCTGGCATTTGTCGATTATCACAAAGCATTCGACAGTATCGAGAATTGGGCTTTCTTAACAGCATTGGACGACGCCAGAGTAGATTCAAGATATGCTGCCCTCCTTAAGAATATATACGATGATGCTACTTTTCACGTAAAAATAGATGATGATCTGGAAACTAGAAAAATAGACCTTGGCAAAGGTGTGAGACAGGGCGACACCATCTCACCCAAGTTATTTACTTTGGCACTAGAAAATGTTTTCAAACAACTAAATTGGGCCGAAAATGGATTAAAAATAGATGGAGAATATCTTAACCATTTGCGTTTTGCAGACGACATAGTACTAATAAGCACAGATATCCATGAACTAAAATCAATGCTACAAGATTTAAATCACAAATCGAATCAAATAGGATTAAAAATGAATCTCGACAAAACAAAGATATTAAGCAACAGCCTAGAAAACATCACGATAGATAACATCAATATAGAAAAGGTAGAACAATATATTATACCTAGGACATGCAATTAAAAACGAAAAGGAAAATCAAACCCTAGAAATTAAAAGAAGGACACAAATATCATGGGCTGCTTTTGGTAAGTTGAGCTTCATTTTAAAAGACAGAAAAATCCCAATTCACTTAAAACGAAAAACCTATGACACTTGTATACTACCAGTTGCAACTTATGGATTGGAAACTATGGCAATAACAAGAAAAATGGCAGAACAATTAAGAGTAACTCAACGGGCCATGGAGAGGGCCATGTTAAATATAAGCCTCAGAGACAAAATTCCTAACACCGAAATACGTCAAAGAACTGAAGTAACCGACATCATGGAAAAAATAGCGACATTGAGATGGCAATGGGTAGCACATGTAGCAAGACAAGACACCAACAGATGGTCTCATAAAGTGACATTCTGGAGACCTCGAGAAACAAAAAGAAGCGTGGGAAGACCTAAAAAGAGATGGATAGACGATATAACTGCTGTAGCTGGAAAGCAGTGGATGAGAATTGCAAAAGATAGGGAAGCGTGGAAGCAATTGGAGGAGGCCTATGTCCAACATTGGATAAATGAAGGCTGAAGAAGAGAAGAAGAATACATTATTAAAGTGTGGTATATTTCACATAGATCACAAAGTTATCCAATTTGTTTATCCCAAAGAGCGATTATCTAAACGACTGTACTTGACCAGATAGTCACTCTGTACCCTCTATACACACGTGTATTCTGTAAATCGAACTCGCTTTTATAAGAGTTCGTACTTTCAACGGAAAAATTTAGTAAGATAGGTCAAAATAACACAATTCTTATTATTTGGTTGAGCTACCCTAGTAAAGAAATGAAGGTTCTACGTGCCACAGAAGCCGAGATATTAAATATTTTGCAAGCGTGCTTCAATTTAAAGTCCGAATCTAAAAAAAAACAAGCTCAGTCAGTTCTTACCTCCATGGTACTTTTCCGTGGCGGTAATTTACGAATACCATTATTTTAATGGGTTATAACATTTTACTCCTTTACTGTGTAAGCCATCTATAACTTCGATCATATATTATAGATCTTAATTCAAAATCTTTTCAATTTTTAGATCTTGTATTAATAAACAATAAAAATATGATTTTAAGAATTAAATGTTATCTTAGTTCTTATTGGTTAAATATGGTTCTGTTTTTGTCTCTTTGTTTTCTTATAAGCCATTAAGATTGCAAATTACAAAATACTTGTACATACAAGTATTGGACAAGTATTTGGACAAGTTCAAAGTGATTTGCTTACTATTTAGCACACCTTAAAAACCCATTAATTGCGATAATTTGAAGTAGCTATATTATCTGCCGTTGGGCAAAAAATTCAATTATTATCATTTATAAATTACTAAAAACATAATATTTTAGAGTTTAGGGTTTTTTGCAATTACCTTGCTCAATTAATTATATATTTTAATTTGGTATCTCTCAACATAAAAAACCTTTTATGGTCTACAACTTTTATTTTAATCATTTTTCTTTAGAATGTAAAAAAACGTTTTACAAGCAAACATTTTTTTTTGTATCTTTTAAGATTGTTAAAAAAAAAGAACAAAGCATAATCAACTGTACATCTTAGAGTATAGATACATATAGATACATATTAGAGTATAGATATAGTACAATAGTATCTCTCATACTATTTAGAATTTAAATAACCGTAGATTTTTGAAAACTATTTACCGAGGTTCTGTGAAATACTTTCTTGTTGCATGGTTAAGTTAAATATTATTTTTTTATGTATATTATGTGTATAAAAATGTAATATTAATTACATTTTTAATTAACTAATATTTATTGTTTATTGTACAAATTATCTAAAATGTGTATACACATTTTGTACAAAAAAACGTTTTTGAGAACGATTTCCGGAATGGAAATCAAAATGTCAAACACAAGTTAATTAAAAATGTGATTCTTATCACAATTACAACCAATAATTGAGGCGTAATCCCATAAAAACATAATATTTACCTCAAACTATTCACCGATAGCTTGGATTAAACAGGTTGTAAATTGAAATTTATGTAAAATATTCCCCTACACAATTCTCTGGGAAAAATATCTACCTTAAATAAATATATCTAACATTTAGGCAAAGAAAAAACCAGTTAAGACCGCAACGTGTTAGCAGGTCGTTAGCACGTTGACCGAAAACGGATCGATATTTATGTACCTAGATATTATTTTAAGTATTAATACCGGCAACATCTATTGGCTTTAAAATGATAGCAAATACAGTGATTTTAAATGATCGATGTTAAAACGTAGGATTGATGTAAAAAATTAAATATATAAAAAAATCAGAATATTGAAAAACCGACAACGCTGCTAAGCCAACAGAGGTGCACTAAACGAACATACACGACTTATATATAGAAAATAATAGATTTTCTTGGTGATGCTAAATTACTGCAACGTAAAACGAGTTTAAAATGATGGCGGGATGTATATATATATATATATATATATATATATATATATAAAGATTTTCCCTATTTAAAGCTTGTTCGGACAATATGTATTATATTATTCGATACGTTAACTATTTCTTTTTTTATTTTATAGTTACCCATAGGCCAGACATTATGTCTGATGACAACTTGACTCCAAACTTTACGAAAGTTTGGCAATGGTATTCTACCTTCAAAAACGACTTGTTCAGTGATATACTGTCACCGAAAAACGTTACCTTAATGAATCAATGCAAGGATCATGAAAGAGTCTGGAAAGATTTTGCTAGATTCGTATCTTTTCTTATCAAAGAAAATGTTATGATGTGTGATAAGTTCGAAACGCAGTGTACTGCATTTTTTAGAAAAGAACGGGAACAGGTAAATATGTATTTTATATCTTTGGTTTGCAGAGATATGTATTTCAATAACTCACCCTTAACAACTAAACAAACATTACGTCAAAAACTTCAAGTGAAAATAATAGTTGAGTGACTTCTTATCTTTCAATTATATCACCCTGTGAATTCTTTGAAATAAAATCACCAAAAAAGCTGAGAAAACAATTTTTTTTTTATTTTACACAAGCATCTCCTGTTTGTTTCTAATAAGATATTATGTTTCGATATTACGTGGTCTCGCACAGAGATGATTATTTGTAGATAATCTTTTTTTTATATATTAAGTTTAAATACGGAGGCATTCTCGATTGAAAATAATGACAAAAACAGAATGAAGAGCAGTAAGGATAAAGCATTTTCATTTGACAGACTTACCAGCCAAATCAACTACTTCTAATAAGCACTAAATGATGGACCTGATTCTGACTAACTATCTTCCTCGAAGCAGACCGATCTTCAGTCATTGTTCGTCTTCCAGCTGTCTCGTATCTTTAATATTCATCTATTGAAGACGTCGCGTCGTATTGCTCGATGTCTTCTAACTCGTTACAAACGAATTGCAGATCTAACCAACATTGATCAATATCCAGGTAATACTATAGTAGGCTTGTGAATTTAACACTATTGGCATCCGTTTCTTGGTTTTTAGGTGTTAAGAACTGGGTTATCGAATTTACGCCCAAATGTTAAACGCAATTTATAGTTTGTGTTTTATTACTGCCATTTAATACGAGATCGTCACAATCCAGATACTTTTCATGGCAGTCGATGAAATCTGACTTATTTTTCTGAAATTAAAGTACTACCCAAGCAATCTTTGAAAAACTATCATCTTATTTAGTTTGTCGACTCTCGTAAGAGTATAGTGATGATATAGTCTATATGTCAATAATTTTATCCTCGGCGGTCAGTGTTTCTAGACTTTGTGTTCTTCTCGTTATCTCTTCGTAGTAGAAGTAGAAGAGTTAGATGCTTTGGAACCCCTATATTTTCCATGAATAACGACGTATTAGTGTAGTCGACGAAGCATAAATAGACTTTAACATTAAATTCATATGATTTTTATTATTTATTTGCTTTGCTTTTTTGATTAAGAACCATTGGCCTGTAGTTGCAACAGTCTCTTCTTAAGCAGTGATATGTGTAAATATTCTTACACCATTCCTTTGGCCACAAACCATATTACTAAGTCATGACATATAGCTTATAGATTGTGTCGATACCTGTTTCTCCCATTGTTTATTTATTTCGGCCGTTATGGCGTCATCACCGAGTGATTTGTTTTTTAGTTACTGCACAGCCATTTCCACTACCGCTCTTAGAATTGAATGTTCCATCTCTATCTGACTAGAATCTTAATTGTTATTCACGGTTCCGTTAGTATCATATAACAGCTTTGCAATATTGTTTCCATACTTAAGCAACCTGCTTTGCATCTGTGAATATTTTTCGTTCATTCCTTATAATTTATGTTTGCGGTTTGAATTTAGTAGACTAACACACAACTTTGTTATAAAGTTCATATGGTATATTGTTTGGATGTTCTTCAAGTTTAACATGCCTATACTCGTTTAATATGATTATTTTTGTCTTCTTTGCACGTCTTTTATATTCTTTGTCCAGAATTTTCTTACTTTCTGAATATATTGTTTTTGAAATCATTTGTTGTCTTCAGGAGTTTATCTGGTCAATCGTTTTTTTCCGTTATCCAGTGTTTCTTTTTGATTGACTTTTAAGTGGTGGTGGACCATTGGCATGTACTTGTATTCTTAGTTGGCGAACTGGTTTATGGGGTATTGGAAGCCTCTGGTTTGCCCCGATATATTTTATTGTCTTAGTTCTTAGTCTTTTATCTCTAAGTTTTATGGCACGCAGCCTATAGTCGGAACCGCATATCGCTGTCCATCAAGCACAGGTGTTGGTAACTCAGATGGTGGGTATGATGGGTTTAAAAACTGTATTTGTGATGGTCGTTTGATAGTATATCCAAAGTTTTTCACCTCATTGATTTCTTTTACCAATTTTATTTTTGTCAGAACATTACATATATGAACAATATTTTTGGTGTTTCCTATCTTAAAGTTAAAGTCGCCAATTACGGTATCCATTGTATATTGGAGACGACCTTGTCTAGCTGTTCATATACTATTTTCATTGAAATGTTTATTGAAATTAAAACCCTTTCGGCATTATTTAATCTCTCCACAGTTTTAGAGGAATAGTTACATTCCTTCCAATAGTAAAGTAAAGGGAAACAAATTTTACTTTTCACTCGCTCATGTATTCCGCTTCAAAAATACATACTGGAGATCGACACACAAGCAGATACAGCCAACAATATCATCAGAAACCAGATAGGCTTTATTCTTATTAACAGAAGATTCAAGAACAGTTTGACTTCGGCGAAGACCTTCCCAGGAGCAGACGTCTCATCAGACCACAACCCATTAGTGGGCCAGATAGAACTTAAACTAAAGAAACTCATCAAAAGTAAACCTAAACAGCACCTGGATTAGGATACTCTAAAAAAACCCGTAGTTCGTCAGAACGTAAGAGATGTAATCAGAGAAAAATTAGAAACCGCTAAAGAACAAGAACAGACTGTAGAACAAAAATAGATTTATATCAAAGACGTCATGCAAAATGCGGAAAAGAACATCTGGGAAAGAAAAAAAGAGTAAAAAACAACAATGGTTAACTGATGATATCCACCGAAAGATTCGAGAAGCTACTGGTCAATACAAGAGGAGAAGCACACACCTCCTCATAAACAAAGACGGGAACCTGGCGACGACAGTTAAAGAGAAGTTGGTGAACTGGAAAATGTACATCGAAGAACTTTTCTGGGACTATCGAGGTAAGCTTCCAGAAATAAATTGCATGACAAGGCCGTCAACACTAGAAAGCGAGGTGAAAGCAGCTTTAAAATAGTCTAAGAATGGTAAGGTCACAGGTCCGGACGAAATACCCGTTGAACTTATTAAGGTGATGAGTGAAGTGAGGACAAAGGAGTTAACTGAACTGTTTAACGCCCTATACGATTCAGGTAATATCCCAGAGGAATGGCTTTAGGCAACATTTGTAACACTACCAAAAAACGATCTGCATCTGCGAAAACGTGTGAAGATTTCCGAACTATCAGGCTTATGAGTCATGCACAAGATTTTTCTTAAAATCATATATGCCAGAATTTACAAGAAATACGAAGAAATTGTCGGGGAAATGCAATTTGGATTCCGCAATTCCATGGGAACACGTGAAGTACTTTTCACAATACAAGTCCTACTTTAGAGATGCCGCGATGTCAATTGTGCTATCTGTATTTGTTTTATTGACTACGCCAAGGCATTTGACCGTTGTCAGCACCAGAAGATGTTTGCCGCCCTACAAATAGTAGGATTGGATGAGAAGGACATTCGGATCATTACGAATTTAAACTGGAACCAGCGTGCTCAAGTCAAGGTCGAAGATGAGCTGACCGACCAAGTGAAGATCATGCAAGGAGTAAGGCAAGGCTGTGTACTCTCGCCGACTCTTTTCAATATATACTCTGAGGAAATTTTTACTTAAGTCCTCACAAACCTAGAGCTGGGAATCCGAATGAACGGTGAATACATCAATAATATCCGCTACGCCAATGACACTGTGTTAGTAGCAACCAACCTAAATTATCTACAAGCCTTACTAGACCGAGTGAGAACTGTGAGCGTAACATACGGACTAGACCTTAATGTTAAGAAAACTAAATTCATGCTTGTCAGCCGTGCAAATTTAGATCCCGGAGTACTAATGGTAGGTAGCGAAGAGATCTAGAGAGTCGACAAATTTACTTACCTCGGAACTACCCCCAACTCACAATGGGAATACGCCTAAGAGATTAGATCCAGAATTGAAATGGCACGGTCTACATTTATCAAGTTGAGATCCTTGCTGTGCTGCAGTGATCTCAGTTTGGGAACCAAGATGCGAATAGTGAGGTGCTACATTCTTTCAGTGTTACTATATGGAGTTGAAGCCTGGACACCGACGCAAGCCACAGAAAAGCGGATAGAAGCCTTCGAGATGTGGATCTACAAAAGGATATTAAAAATATCGTATGTGGACCATGTCACCAACGTTGATGTCCTACGGCGCATGAGAAAAGAAAAAGAAGTGCTTAATTTAGTGAATGAACGTAAGCTTGAGTACTTCGGGCACGTGATGCGGAACGAAGAAAAATATCGAATTCTTCAACTCGTTATCCAGGGTAAAGTATTTGGCAGGAGAAGACCAGAACGCCGTCGTATCTCGTGGTTAAAAAACTTCTGACAATGGTTTGGGATGAACTCCGCGGAGCTGTTTCACAGAGCAATCAACAAAACCATGATAGCCTCGATGATCGCCAACATCCGGACCGGATGATTATCAGACCATTAGTATGTTATGGTTGCGAGACATGGGTGATGACAGTCTTAAGGAAGATATTTGGTCGTATTAACGAAACCGGAGTATGGATATTCAGGTACAGCCATGAACTCTACCATTTGTTCAAAGAGGCACGGATCTCAGAGAGATCTGAGAGAGATCTGAGAGAGATCTGAGAGAGATCTGAGAGAGATCTGAGAGAGATCTGAGAGAGATCTGAGAGAGATCTGAGAGAGATCTGAGAGAGATCTGAGAGAGATCTGAGAGAGAGAGAGAGAGAGAGAGAGAGAGAGAGGGGGGGGGGAGAGAGAGAGAGAGAGAGAGAGCAAAGCAAAGCAAAGCAAAGCAAAGCCTCCTTTATTTCAATGTTATTCTATGTTCTTATTATTATTCGATGATGTCTTAGATATACGTTGTTCTTATAATTTGCGCTCATTTGCGCCCATATTTTTCTATCTTGTGCTATTCGAGACCACGTTATTTCTGTTAATTTTCTTATGTCATAATCCCATCTGAGATTCGGGCGCCTCTTTGGTCTCTTAGCGTTCCTGAAGTACCACATAGTTGTTCCAGTTGTCCATCTGTTGTCTGTTCTTCTTGCTATATGTCCTGCCCATTGCCATTTCAGGGATTTTATTCTTTGGATTACATCAGTCACCTGGGTTTGCCTCCCTATCCATTCAATTCTTTTACGATCCCTCTTTGTTATCCCTAGCATACATCTTTCTATTGCTCTTTGAGTTACTTGGAGTTTCGACGTTATTTCTCTCTTTAATATCCAAGCTTCACATCCATATGTCAAGACGGGTAATATGCATTGATCAAATACTCTTTTCTTGAGGTATAGTGGCATTTTGGACTTGAAGACTATGGAATTTCGTCCGAATGCTGACCACGCTTGTTTTATTCGTCTGTTGATTTTCGGAAGTAGTGATCCCGATTTATGTATGAGCTGTCCCAGGTATATGTACTCGTCTACTACTTCTAGCGAGGTTTCATTAATTTTTATTTCCACGTTGGCGATCAGATCATTGCACATTATTTTAGTCTTTGCTAGGTTCATTTTTAGGCCTACCTCATTGCTAGCTGTATTAAGGTCATTAATTTGTAGTTGTAATTCTTCAGGACTTCTAGCAATTAGAATGATGTCATCAGCGAATCTAACATGGTTGAGGTATTCTCCATCTATACATAGACGTTGGCTGTTCCAGTCTACTTTCCGGAAGATATTTTCTAAGGTTGCAGTGAAGAGCTTAGGGAATATGGTGTCTCCTTGTCGGACTCCTTTCTGAGTGGGAAATTCTCGGGTATTTTTATATATGCTTACTCTAGCTGTGGCCTCTTTGTATATATTTGCTAGCGTTTCGACATATGGTTTATCTACTCCTTGGTCGACAAGAGCTTCTCGTGCCAAATGCCTTCTCGTAGTCTATGAATGCTAGCGCCAGTGGTAGATCATATTCCTTTGTTCTGCTCATTACTTCTCTTATAGTTTGAATATGATACATTGTGCTGAAGCCACTTCTAAAGCCTGCTTGCTCTCGGGGTTGTGCAGCATCAAATGTGTTCTGTACTCTGTTGTTAATGATTTTGGTGAATACCTTGTATATCACAGGCAGCAAGCTGATCGGTCTATAATTTCTAATGCCTTCCTTGCTACCTTTCTTGTGAATGAGAATTATGTTGGCTGAATTCCACTTTTTCGGAATATGTCTCGATTTTAGGCAGTCTGTGTATATTTTTGCTAGGATTTTCCAAGTTGTTTTACCTGCAATCTTTAGAAGTTAGGCTGTAACACCGTCATTACCGGCTGCCTTGCCGTTCTTCATGCTCTTAAGAGCTGCCTCTACATCATCCACGAGAACATCTGGTACATCTTCTTGAACCGCAATTTCTTCTTCGCCTAGTTCTTGTACTTCCGGAGCTTTATATAGACCCTCGTAGAATTCGGTTACATGTTCTATTATTTCATCCCTATTTGTGATCCTTTGGTTGTTGTTTCCCAATGCTATTATTTGCTTTCTACCGATTGCCAACTTACTCTTGGTTTTCCTATAGCTTTTACGGTTCTCGATTGTATTTTGTACAAGTCGTTCATTGTAGGTTTTTATATCTTCTGCGATCTTTTTCCGTATTGCTTTGCACAGTTCGGTATATTCAATTCTATTAATATTGGAGTTGATTTTCATTTTTCTTCGTTGTTTCAGGAGAGCTGTTGTTTCATCTGAAAGTTTTCTATTGCTGTTGTGTGCTTGTGATCCTCCAACTTCTTTGTCGTAATTTAAGATTGTTTCCATTAAGTGTGTGCTATTCGTTGGATCTTGTAATTTTTCTTGAATTAAATTTTGATAGCGTTTGATAGAGTTGTTGCTTAGGTTAGTGATATTTACCCCCGCAATTGGTTTCTAGAGTAATTTCATTCTTTCTAGTTTAGTGTTTAGAACGACCCGAGATCTAATTAGTCTGTGATCACTACCTGTTCGGAATTTGTTGAGCACACTTACATCCTTTATGGTTTTCAGCTTATTAGTTAGGATGAAATCTATATCGTTTTTGGTAGTTGCATTGGGAGCTACCCATGCCCATTTCCTATTGAGGTTCTTGAAATAGGTATTGGCGATTGATAGGTTCTGGTAATGTGCGTATTGAACCAGTCTCTCTCCCCTTTAATTTCTTTCTCCAATGCCAAAGTTGCCGACACATTGTTCTTGATTTGATTGTTTACCCACTTTGGCATTAAAGTCCTCGACTAGATACTTAAATTGGCTTTTGTTCTTGTTAAGCACCTCAGTTATTTCATTGTAGAATTCCTCTATTCTCTCATCGGAGTGGGATATGGTTGGTGCATATATTTGCACAATTTGGATGGTGTATCTTCTGGATAGTCTTAGACTTAGACTAGCTACTCTGTCTGAGGTGCTTACTATGTCGACTATCCTATCCTTCCATTTCTTATTAATTAGGAACCCCACTCCACTTGTTCGTCCATTTTTTGTTCCTTTGTGATAGAGGATGTTGCCCGATTCAAGTTCTACTAACTCTTCCTCCTTCCGTCTTACTTCGCTTATTCCGATGACGTCCCATTTAATATTGACTGCTTCATTTTCTAACTCTATGAGTCTTGCCTGGTTTGCTAACGACCTGCAGTTATAGGTCGCTACGTATAGTGTTGTTGTTCTGTGAAATATATATGAAATATATATGACTGTATATATGTCTCCTTAGTACGCTGACTAATTAGTTTTTCTAATTGTGTGAGCGGCAAAATATTAAAAACTCTCACTCAGAAGCAAATGTCCTATATACTGTAAAATTACAATTTGAAAACTTTACTTTCAATCTGAGTTGTCACAAAACTCATTTTCCATTTAGTATATTCTTATTTTAATTTGGTCGTGAAGTCGAAGTTGTCGAATCGTTATGAAGGATGAAGAATGGTAAAGCTGGTGGAATATCTTTAGGCATTCAATCAACGCTTTAGGTTTGGAAGGCTATAGGAAAGAAAAGGATTGAAATTTTTTGTGGCAAATGATTAGAAGGATATATAAGTAAGAAAGAATGCCCAATCCATGGAGAGAAAGTGATCATTGTATAAAGATAAAGGGAACATTGAGGATTGTAAGAACTATAGAAGGATAACGTTAATGTCGCATACATTGAAAATTTGGGAGATACTTAGACCGAAGATTAAAGGGAAAGATAAACATTAATAGGAGAAGAACAGTTTTGATTTATGCCAGGAAGGAGGACACAGATGTCTTGTTTACTTTGAAACAGTTAGTAGAGGAATACGGTGAGAAGAAAAGAGAGCTACATTTGGTATTTATAGATCATTAGAAGTTGTACGACACAGTGCCTAGACAAGAGCTATGCAGATGTTCGATAGAGAAATGGGTTCCTCAGAATTACATAAGGCTCGTGAAGGATATGTATGAGGAAGTGTACACCAAAGTAAGGGTTAGTATCAGATTGACTGAAAGTTTTCCATTGAAGGTTTGTTTGCATAACGGTTCTTCACTGCGTCCCTACCTGTTTAATCTTGTTATGGATGTACTGACAGAAAAAGTAAGGGAGGGGCTTCTTGGTCAATGTTCGTTGCTGATGATATTGTGTTAGTAGAGGAGGGCAAGATATGTTGGAGGAGAAGTTGGAGGGTTGGAGAAGGGCTGTTGAAGAGTGAGGACTTAAGATTAGCAGGTCGAAAACGGAGTATATGTGGTTATCAGGTAGAAGAATGGTTTTGACAAGAACTTAAATACCTTGGCTGCTTCAAAACAAAAGATGGCGCTCTAGATCGAGAAATTGCCCACAAGATACAGGCTGGTTGGTTTAACTGGAGCGAATGAGCGGGATACTTTGTGATCGAAAAATTGGGGAAGGATTGAAAGGAATATATACAAGAGTGTGGTAAGACTTGCGTTGGTGTACGGCGGTAAAGTATGGCATGTAAAGAGAATTCAAAACAAGAATATGGAGGTAGCTGAAATAAAAATGTTACAGTGGATCTTGGGTAAGACAAGAAGGGACAGGATCACATACTTACCAGGAACGACTTGATTAGGAAAAGAACCTAAGTCTACACTCTTAAAAAATGATTCAAGACCAAAGACTGCAATGGTTTGGTCATGTCAGACGTAGAAATGAAAACTATGTGGGACTGTTAGAAGTTGATATAAGGAAAGGTAAAGGAAAACAGAGGAGAAGATGAAAGGTCTGTGTAGCAGAAAACTTTAGAGAGAAAGGTTTAGGAGAAGAAGATCCGATGGACAGAAATAAGTGGGGATGTAGAGTGAGAAACAGCGACCCCCGAAAAGAGAAAAGCTATTTTCAGTTTAATTGGTTTAAATGGTTTCCGCCTTTTTTCCTTCCGTTTGTCCCTTTTTGATATTAATAAGATCATGTTATTATTCATATCGTTTAACTTTGTTTTTTTTATCATTTTAATTTTATAATATATTAATATTTTCTTTTTAGGTTCTTCTAAAAAATGTTTGTTATTGTATAAAACATTTTGTCGAGTTTCACAAAGAGAACGGAGGAGATTTTAAAAAGTTTATAATGTTGGATTTTTTAGCCGATTTTTGCAAGGATCTTTGAACAAAAAATGTGTATATGTTTTTATTCGTTGTAATTAATTATTTATTTAGTGTGTTATTTTTAATTAAATAAGAATAAAGATTAATAAACATTTTCTTAAATAACAATTTTAGCAGGATTTCCCGAAGACTGTAAAGTATTCTGGCATGTAATGTTAGTAAAACAGTTTAAATTAAAAAAATCCACAAGGAAAACAATTCCTGTAGCTGGCTGTATACCACGTATCACAAAAAAGAGGTTAGTCTTCGTAAGTGGGTATATTTATTTAAAAACCCTTAAAAGGCTACATAAAAAAAAAACAAACGTTTTCGGACTAAACATTCCATCATCAGGTTTAAATTTTAAAATTGCCTAAAATAAGTCTAAACCGTTTAGTTATAACAAACGTGGTTATGAAATTTTGACTATGGTTAAAATGCAAAAAATGGTTATACTTACTAGGTTAAAATGCCTGAGCCACCAAAATACATGGGTAAAAACCCTTTAAATTACATATAGTTGTAAAAGATTATACATCATGTTGTTAAAAAACTGTGATGTTCAGTATTAAATTAAATATGACTTCAGGTAACATATCTATCTATCTATCTATATATATATATATATATATATATATATATATATATATATATATATATATATATATATATATATATATAGCTAATCTAACATAAAATACACTTTTAGACCACATTCCATACGACAAAAAGTAACATAGGTTGCCTAATACACAGGTCATCCTCTTAAACATGACTTTAACACCATCGGTGATTTCATATCTATTATAACCCAAATTTTTAAATCCCATCTAGATTGCTGTTATTATTTTTTTAAATCATCAAAATAATTTTTTGAATCTTTTGGCTGTAGTAATACTAGGTATAACTAATATAGTTCCATGTTACATTGACATTTTGTTTTCGACACCGTTCATAGGTATATTGTCAATCAGTTTCCAGCTGTTCTCCGTGTGTAGAGGTTTACTCTCCGGCTCTGGAACTCACTTCAGCCATATATGTTACCTGAAGTCATATTTAATTTAATACTGAACATCACAGTTTTTTAACAACATGATGTATAATCTTTTACAACTATATGTAATTTAAAGGGTTTTTACCCATGTATTTTGGTGGCTCAGGCATTTTAACCTAGTAAGTATAACCATTTTTGCTTTTTAACCATAGTCAAAATTTCATAACCACGTTTGTTTTAACTAAATGGTTTATACTTACTTTAGGCAATTTTAAAATTTAAAGCTGATGATGGACTGTTTAGTCCGAAAACGTTTGTTTTTTGTTGTGGTCCTTTAAAGGGTTTTTAAGTAAATATACCCACTTACGAAGTTTAAATTAGACGACGAATAATCCTTACAAATAGGGGATACTATGGGCTCAAAAAACAATTCCACACAAGAAGTATTCAACTAAGAACTAAAATTATTATATACATTACACTGCTGAGACCGGTCCTTATGTATGGGACGGAAACATGGTCTACGAGCCCTAACAACTATATGTTGGAACAAGCAGTTATTTTGCAAATAAAATACCAATTTATTGAATTTCTTTTATGTTAATTTTTTTAATCGAAATTAAAAATATTTTTTATGATATATGGAATTATTTTTACAGTTTTATTATGTAATTATTGTTGATTACTATTTAATTAGTTATTTGATAGCCAAAATATGCTGACAACTAAATATTGGAACAAGAGGAGTTTAACATATTAAAATAAATATTAATAATTTGTAACGTCGCCCTTAGATTGAAACCAGCCTGAACTCTATTAGTGATTGTACCAACTAGGCCTTCACAGAATTCAGGAGTGAAACTATGTCATATTTCTTGTAATCTAGCACGTAGTTGTGGCAAAGTACGCTGAGAGTTATTTCTTAGGAGTTTTTTCATTTTGTGTCAAATGCCTCTATTGGATTAAGATTCGGGCTGCTAGAATGATGTGACAAAACTTAAATGTCATGTTATCCCAACCATATTTGGTAGATTTATCCATATGGCAGAAGGCTCCGTCCTGCTGAAAGATAAAATCTTCGAATGGATATAACTATGCCGCACTTGGTAGAGGCCAATATTCAAGGATATATTGATATTTAGCTGCGTTTACTATGGCCTCAATAAAATATAATGTTCCCAACTCTTTTGCCGACATACAACCCCACCACGATGCCCTGTGGAAACTTTACAGTTCTTTAGAGAAAATTCTTATGGAATGCTTCTCGATTTACACTTTTTGCGGAATCACACGCTTTCGATAATCTCCCACACAGACATCAAATTTGCTTTCGTCGCTATAGACAACTTTGCCCCAGTTATGTTTGGTCCACGAAAGTTTTGATTTGGCCCAAATGTAACGATTCCTTTTTTGAGTTTCCGTCAGCAATGGTTTTTCGTTGACCTACTCGAATAAATCAAAAAACAGAAAATTTATATTGCAATGAAGAACCTATCAAACATACGTTATAAAGACCGCTAAGACCGCTTTTGTGGATATATTTGCAACAGGAAACATTTATCCCAGTTTCTCTATTCCGTCTAACGGTTACTTCTCGTACTGTATTTCTTCTTCCCGACTTACATATTCGAATTAAATGCACTCCTTTGAGAAATAGCTTTTGAAGGGCCTGAGCTTTTTCTGCAAATATCAATACTGGCAGTTTCACCATATTTATTAATTATATTAAACACCGTAGTTGTTACTATAGTCAATTCACTGGAAATTTCACGCATTGTTTTCCCTTCATGGTACTGATGAATAATAATTTCTCGAACTTTTGGATCAGTAGGTTTTCCACGTTCCATTATTATATTTTACTCGCAATAAAACTGACAGTTGTCTTTATTCATACTCAAATGAGCCATGGCTCATTATTGGCCATGGCATTATTGTTGACAACGCACTACCTACTCGTATGTCTGATTTCAAAGCCTTCTTTGTGTCAGGCTGATAAAATTTAAGAATCATGAGGAAAAGCAAAAAATGTTACAACATTTAGGTGTCAGCAGTTTTCGATTATCAAACAATTACTTAGTATTTAATATTAAATATATAATTAAGCCCCAAAAATAATGCCCTACATCATAAAAATTTTGTCAATTTCATATTTACAATTTAAAAAAATATAAATAAAATAATTTTGGTTAATTTGCATTATATTCGCAAGATAACTGCTTATTCCAACATATAGTTGTTAGGGCTCGTATAACGCAGAAAAATTTTTGGGAATATTCGAGCGTAAAATATTGCGCAAAATACTTGGAGCCATAAACGACCAATAGTCAATCGTCAGAGAGTTGAGCCCTAAAAATCAAACGAACAAGCTGAAATTTTGCCGAGAATATTAATTTTGGGATCTCAAAAAAGATGCAAAAAAAAAGTTTACCACTTTTATCCCGGGCTTCCCCTAAAACTCCCCTCCCAGGAATCTGTACACCTTAGAAAAAAATATTTCAAATAAAAAATGTAGCTGAGATAATTTTAAACAAAAATGTTCATAAGCATTTTTTGTGTAGCATGAACCATTCTCCTAGGAATAACGCTTAAAGCGACCATCGATTTTACATGTCAGTTACGCGCGAAATCAATGTTCAATAAAATTTGTATCAGCTCGACGGTAAAAATTAGATGGTTATATGGAGTTGATACCGACTTAGAGATACTAAAATTCCGAAGATGGCGAAACGTCGCCAGAAAGCGAACACAATGGCGACTAATCTTAGAACAGGCTAGGATCTACAGAGGATTGTCGAGTCAAAGATGATGATGATGATATACAATTCAAATCCGTGATAAAGGCTGGACATATCGAATCTAGGATTTTATCACTAATGGGACGTCACAAGAAAATTGGAATCGGAATATACTGCTGTGCATGTTCCGAACAGGAACGCGAAAACACTCAGCTTCCCACGTAAACATCATCAGTAAGTGATAAATAGATAGATAGATAAATATTGTATTTATATCGGATTAAACCACAATTTTTATAATCAAATTTATATTTTACATTTATTTTGACATTTCAATGTCCAATCCGAAAATATATTTAAAAAAATATTTTAAGTAAGGAATTGTTAACCTGTGATGTTTACCAATTGGCGCCTTGTAACCAAGTCATATATAGTCTAGATCAACCTGCTATAGACTGTGGCGTCATAGGTCACGTTTAGATTTGTGCGACGACAGTCCCCGCGAATCGACCAATTCGCCAGTTTACAGTCTCAGTGTACCTATTCATGCACGGATGTAACAGCGCTGTATTTATGTTCCGCTAACCAACAACAGACTAGTATTTTCTATCGATCGATACATTGTTTTCTTGTATGTGTGTGGGTGGTGTTTGGTATGCGTTTGAGGTGTCTTGTTTAGTCAAACTCTTCTGGGCGTTTTACAGTTGATAGTTTAGGCTAGTGGCAGTTGGTCTGGGGTATTGTGGAGGTGTCTGAAAACCAGAAAAGGGAGGGCTTAAAGAAAGTAACGTTTCTTTTTAGATATTTTTTATTATTTACTGACTATTGTGTAGACGTTCTCTTGGGGGAACCTGTAACCCCTACAGAGCGCGTCCCCAGGTGGCGGATAGGTTAGGTTAGGTTAGGCGGATAGGGGAACGCCCGACCCGGTTTACCGGTGGGTAGGAGGGAAATAAAATACCTCCCGTGGGCCAACAGGTAATTCACCGAATGATTGCCGGTATAAGCGATCACACCATTTACTGGCCAACGGCTTCAGGCGGAGAAGCTAATATGTGGAAGAGCACTCTTGTCCAGAGATTGAGAAATCGGTCTCGAAGGCGGATGAACCAAGGATGGTCAACGGCGCAATGATGCAGAAGGCAACGGGGAACCACTGCATTAAAGACTCATAGAGTACCCCTAGTTAAGTCATTATGGTGTACAACAAAAATACTGGAAACCCTACTGATCATGGGAATAGGATACCAAGGTCCGGTAGAGTGAGAAAAACACAAAACTACAAGGCTCACTTGGTCGTAAACATGCGAAATCCTTATACAAGAGCGCAGAAACCACCTAAGAGTTGCAACGTGGAATGTTAAAAGTTTGTTCTCTGCAGCAAAA